TTGGCTTAAAGGAAGAAGTGAATTCTTTGAAAGAGAACTAAACTTTGCTGTATGTAAGAATTAAAATAAGTGAATTAGTAGCAAATCACAAGGAAAGAGAGGTGAGGAGAACATTTATTTAAGCCAGACATGAAGTAGAAGAGTAATTATTCCAGGTCTCTCATATAACCTAATACTGTATTTATTCAAATGGTAGGCATAGCATGAGAACTGGGTGCATGATTGTCAGCAAAACGAGGAAATCTCCTTGCAGTGTGATTGAAGAATTTTTATTTTTATTTCTACTTTATGGCAAGAAGTGATGGTTTCTTAGAAGGATAGGTCAAAAGTGCACCTTTAGTCTGACAGTCACGTTTGTAGTACAATGCAAAGAAAAATAGTCCCCATTTGCTTTTTCCTGTAGTCGGCATAAATATCTAGCACATTAGTCAGAAGAAAGCTGTTGACAGTAGACACACAGAGCTAGTTCATCATGAAGTGTCTCGACATTCAGTCTTCCAGAACTTGTCTCTTCTGTCACTCCAGAACAGAGTCAGACATCAACACAAGTCTCCTGGCCCTAGTAGATCCCAAGGTGGTCTTCTCCAAGACAGGCAATTAAAGAATGCATTGTCTGTAAAGTCAAGAACAATAATAAAACTGGCTAAAGATTGGCCTACTTCTTTGTTATTACTATTAGTCAGTGACTGTAACAGTTTCATTGTTTGCCGACTTCCCCTTTGCCCACTCCCCTTGATATGTCATTGCCTAGCACCCCAAATGGGCAGATAGAGATAAGACACTGACTTCAATATATAAGAGATTATAAAATGTTCTAAAATGTTTCTATATGTAGTGTAAGGAAGTTCCTTTGAATTTTGTGTCTAACATTGTCTAAAGTTGCTGTGGAATGATGATAAAGCTCATTCTTACCGAGCACTTACAGTGTACCAGGCAGTGGGCAAAGAGCTTTGTCATGTTGACTTATTGAATCCTTACCACAGCATTACAAGGTAGGTCTTATTTTGGTTATATCCATTTTACAGATGACACACTAAAGACCAGAAAGGATAAGCGACTTGCCCAAGCCCAGGCAGAGCCAAGACTGGAACGCTGGTGCTCATCTCTGAAACCTGTCTTGTAACCACGGGGCTCTCCTGCGTTATGATTTGTAGGGCTGGGCTCAGGCTTGGGCAAGAAGAGACAGAACGGAGGACCTCTAGTTTTTCTCTGGAACCTAGATGAAAGCTTTCTTCTCTATAGTCACTATGAAAAGGTGTTAAAGGCCTCAAGGACTTTATGCTATTGCCTTCTCTGGTCTGTGGCAGGAGATGGTTAACTAGCCCCCAGGGTGGGCTGCTGTCAGGTGGTTCAGAACAATAACCCTAGTGCAATTACCCAGTCTTCCCAGGAGACATAATGGATCCTACAGAAGTTTATATGCAGAGAAAGATAAGGGTCTAGAGTATATAATTGGGATGGTGACATTTAGAAAGCTCCAGTGACTTACAGAGATTATATCACATATCTTGTAAGCACCCAGTGGAGTTCCAATCATTCAACAGATATTTATTGAGCACCTACCATACACCAGGCAAACCAGACACTATCCCTACCTTTAGGAACCTTGCAGTCTGGTGGGAGAGACAAAAATCACACCAATGATTATAAGATTATAACTGTCAGGTGTTTGAAAGGATAGAGTGCTAAGGAAACCCATAATAAAGACTTGACTTGACCAGAGCAGTTAGGGAAGGCCTTTTTGAGGAAATGGTAGAGTATTTCTTCCTAGATTATTTGCCATGCCAGAAACTCCAGGAAACAAAACAAAACAACTTTTTGCCTACATACAGTTAGCCATCTAATCTCTTGATTCTTTAGAGTAAGACATCTCAGAGGCCACATCTCATATCCTTTCTTGTCATTGCATAGTGCTTTACTCCAGTGGGCCTGGCATTTGGTTAGAGAACATTCTGCCAGCTATGCCAGGGGCCTACCCTAGCCGTACCTGTAGCTTTCCTTAGGTCAGTGGTTCTCAACCCTGCTTGTACATTACAATCACCAGAGAACTTTTTAAAAGCTACCCATGTCCAGACCCCACCCGGACCCATTGAATCAAATCTTGCAAGGGGGAGGGGGAGGAGTCACTGTACCAGCATGTTAATAAATCATCCCACATGATTCTAAAATGCAGCCAGGGTAGAGAACTACTGTCTTAGATGAATGCACTTAATTTCACTTAGTCCTGTAATAATAATGTAACATTTAACATTAAAACACTTCAGAATGCAAAGGGGATTACTTTGGTGAGAGGTGTGTGTGAGTGTTTGTGTGTGAATGCACACAAGCAAGCATGAGGGTGAGGGTGTTGGGTTTCCTTGCATGTTGTGTGCTTTCCATTTCTGTGGCATGTGGTGGAAACACAGCAAATGGCTTGAGGATGGAATTTCTTGGGCTTTGGAATCAGGTTAGTTGTCAGGAGACAGGCCATTCCCAGGGCCATGAGAGTTTGATGCAGAGGCAAAACAAAGCTCAATAAAGAAACACATTTCTGGCTTTCTCCTTCCACCTCCCAATCTCCAGTCCTCCTCTCCTTCCTCTTCCAGTGCTGTTTTATTTAACCGCATACATTATGAGGCTTCATATGAAATCTATAGCCCCTTCGAGGAAGAACATTCAAATCTTAGATAGTAGAATTTTTTGTTGTTGTTCTTTAAAAACATAAGAAACCATTGTGAGCACCTTATATGTAAGTGGAATGAATGTATTTTTGTCACTAATGTTGAAAATATCCCCAGGCATCTGGTGTGTATGAATGTGTATACATAGTACATGTATAATAAACATATTCTACCTTATGAATATTTATACACAAGATACATATATATTGAATATAGACATACATGTGTAAATAGTAGCCCTTGTAAACTATATGCGAAGTGTTTCCAAGCATATGTATCATAGTGTATCGCAAATACAATAAACTCACCCCCAAGTTTAGCATATTTTGAGGTGACATTTTATACAGAGATGTTTATAGTAGGCTCTAGTTACTATCCATGTACATTTTTTTTTTTTTTATCACTGAAATGTTATTAAATACCAACAGAAGTAAGGTACTGGACATGAGTAAGAAAGAAGAAATACATTGGTCCCTGCTCTCAGGGACTTATGCCTTGGTGAATGGCTTAAAATTCAGTTAGGAAGAATTTAACATTGTTGTTCCCCATTGGTCTCTTACTATTTTCTTAAAATTGTCTCTTCTTTGTATACACCACTGCTACCTCTACCTGTTGGGGTTTCAGATGGGTCCCAGTTAGGTTATATTAACTTAAGCCCTGATGTAGCTGCAGAGTAGAACCGAGTCAGTGAGAAGCAGCATCCCTGGACCCTAGTAATGCTTACACTTTTTCTCTTGGTCACTATACAGCCCAGACTTATAACTACATTTTTTTTAATCTTACTCTGATTTATAAGGTAGAAAAAAAGGTACAATAAAAAAGATACCGATGTAAAAATAGCAAGTGTTTTGTTACCTGTATACTTACCACAGTAAAAAAAGACACCCAGTCCCAGAGATGTTCATAAATCTCAAAAATAAAACCAAAACAAAACACTCTTTTCTCCCCACAAACTTCATGGAACCCAAATATTACTCGAGCATGACATTCCACTTCCAAATTCCGTCAGTTCCCTCCCGTGATAAGTAGCAGAAGCTTTTATTAAAAACAAGCTATACATTCTGAAACGTGCAAAATATGGATACCTTTCTAAAACGGCCTTCTGACCTACTGTGGCAGGGAGCTCTGAGTGACATTTGTCAGCAGGCAGATTTCAGTCCATTAAAGGAGAAACAATACATCAGCACTGTCATCGCTGAGCCACCAATGTATGCTCGTTGTTTTCTCCCCCTCGACCCACACATCACAACAGGTAGTTCTCAGCTGTTCCCTTTGTGCTAGACATACATTTTATCTAAAGAGACAGCAGACAGAACTACCTGCTGCTTGCAGTACAGCTCTCCCTGTGCTGCTTCTCTCCTTTTCCCTAGTTCACTGGGGCTTTTTCAAATCAGCTGGCAGAGAGCCAGGAGCTCATCATTTTAATGCAGTGCAAAATGGAATATGCATAATTATATGCAAGCCATATGTGAGGGAGACAGCTCAGCTGTGAATTTCAGGAGGCCAGGAGAGAGAGCAGTTAGGGCTAAGATGAGATGAGAGCAGAGCGGGGAGAGCAAGTGTCACCCAAATGAACGATTTAATGAGTGTGCTGTGGACACGCCTCCTTTCACCTACCTCTCCCTTTTCTCCAACTCCAAACCAGAAAAGGATGGAGACTAGAAAGAGAAGACTGAATGCAAGTGGTATTGCTAATGGGTTCTGTTATGGCTCCGTTTAAACTGCAGTTTTCTGAATTAACAGTGTAGATCAAAATCACCAGTAACTTTTAATGCAGCTTCTTAATTAAGTATATATTTTTTAACTGCATTGCATTGAAGAATCATTGTTCTTATTAGATCATTGCTCCTTTCAGATTTTTATTAAAAAGTGAAGGGGAATTAGTTTATTTCTGATAGTATTACAATGCAAAATATAACTATGCAAATTGCTTTTCATATGGCCTTGCTATTAGAATTTTTAAAAAAGTGCATTATGTAGGATTGCTTGAGCATGCCAAAAAGTTTAAACACGTACGTATGTCACCTAATCCTAAATGTGCAATTTAAGTCACACAAAGTGGTGGTAATTTCCTACAAAATGATCTCATTTTGGTTTGTCTCATATTGTTTTAAATATTACACCACAATGAATTTGCATGTTCAAACTCAACTATGTAAAGAATAAAACAAATCCCAAGTTTGGCTATCTAAAAGGCGTACTGCGTATTTAAACAAGCTTCTTAATAATGTTGTTATTTCTGGATTCCCGTTTGTTTAATGATCTGAGCTGTTATGCTTTTAGCTTTTTTTTCTTCCATTATTTGTAAGTCCCTAAATAGGCCATTATATTTCCCTTCAGGCTAGAGATGAAGATGGACATGCTGAAAATTTTCCCCAGCAGCACTATGCTAAGGAAACTCCAAGGCTTGCCTTCAAGAATAACTGCGAACTACTTGTAAGAATAACATACTTACAACAAGTCTAGAATGTTACTTTAGCACAGTGAAAACAGTTTTTGAAAGGATTTGTTCATTATTACATAATTTATGAAATATTATAATTTTTCTGTATAGAGTTCTAAATGCTAATTCTGATATCACTGAATATTAATTATAAGGTCTCAGATTGTTTGCGAATCTTTTATATCTGATTATAGAGCTTGAATGGCCCTGTCTTTATTAGCTTGTTTGGTATGGTAGTTTATAAGCAGCCGTTTGGAGAATGGCTAGTAAAGTTAAAAATAATAAAGACAGTTGATATACTATGTAGCTTGGAAAAAAAAAAAAAAAAAAAACTCCACCCCTACCCTTCCTCCTCCTTGCTAATTGTACCCTATTGTAGGAGATAACATTGTAATATTTTGTTCTGCAGGGAAAGATAGCAGAGTTGTTTCGTAGTACTCCCTTTAGAATTCAAGTATTCTTCCGCTCTCTTGCCAAACTCAATCAGGCACTTTCTGTCTCTCCTATGTAGAAGGAGTCAAAGCAATGACAGGATTTGGGGATGTTTACAAGTCGTGAGAGAGAGGATATCAGCTGTGACAGAAACTCTGTTCCAAGGCAGGGTTAATTTGCTGTTCATTTTAGCATTTACAGCCAGACAAGATGAAAAGCAAGCAGGAATGCCTATTATATTTCTATTAAATGAATCTGTTGGGACGTAATGTTCTTGATTAGCTTTTGAAAATGAGTGCTCCACAATGCATTTTCTGTTTACCTAAACAGAGAATGAATTGTCATTTATTTAGAGATTCAAGCACTGCCTTTGAAAATGAAGCTTTATGAGGGATCTAGCTACGATGTCCCTAAATGTTCTTTTCTTTTCATTTGCACTAAAGCAAAACATTTGCTCCAACTAAATGGAAACACTGCAAGAGAATGGGGGTGCTCAGTTGTTAAATTCCAAGGTAGTCTAATTGCTGTTGAGTTTTGAATTTTTTTGGCTCAGTGCAGCACAACTCTGCCAGATCTCTGCATTAGGAAATCCCACATGTAATGGTCTTTGGACTTAGCTCTGATACCAACTGTTCGTTAAAAACAAAGTGTCCAAAGAGCAGAAGAAGTGACAAAAAATACAGTTCTTACGATTTTAGCTGCAGTAGCTGTGTCGAAAGCGAGAGACTCCTTTTCCCCTCCACAGTCCTGCACAGTTAATGGTAGCATTATTCATGCTGTGTGCAGTACCTCGATCCATCAATCTGTAGGCAAATTGGCGGCCAACAACTGCAATTTTATTGAAGTTTTAATTCACCTTCTATTTTATCTTAGCGTTTTTAAACTACCGTTCCTGTTATCATAAGGTATATTGAGGAAACTTTTTTCATTTGCTTCAGTTTTAATGTTTGAGTACAAAACTGTGCTTACCCAATACAAGACCGTAGGGACCATTTATGTTATGTTTTGGTGTCAGAATACTTTTGGGAATGCTTTCCTTCCTTTTAGAGAAATTGTTAAAAGTAATATGTCATATTTGATCCCCCGCCCCCTATTTATTGGAAAAATAAACTTGCCTGAGTCTGGCTGTGGTCAGTTTATACAGGAGGAAGTAAAACATGTATGTTAACATCTTTTCCAGCTATCTTTAGAGAAAATGTATGTTTAGTCATTGCTGTGGTTAAACACAATATTGTGTTGGCAGAAGTTTTGAGAGATTGGTGTAATCTTTGTCCTTCTGGTCACTGTTAGACATGCTTTATTTTGGTCTGCATACTTCCCTGTGATAAAAGAAAAAGGAGAATAAAGAGAAAAAAAACAAGTAAGCTTATTTCTCCAATGGAGATGGAGAAATTTAATTTTTTTTCTAGCTGCATAAGAAGTCTTGGTGTTTGGATGGTTATGAAGCCCTGAAAAGTTATGCTTCTGTGTGAAAGAGACTTGTTTATTCTTATGAGAAGAATAGGAAGTCCTTGGAGTTTTCTCAGTGCGGCTTAGAGCAAGCACGTTTTTAGAGAATCTGTCAGGGAAGATTGTAAGGTCCACTCCAAAGTGCTTTCTTAGCTTAAGGGCAGTTCTGCCATCTTCTTGCATGGTTCAACACAGCAACAGCAGCTGTGAGTTTAGAGAGGTGGGTAGCTCTGTGGCAGACGCTGACTGGCTCTCAAGAGAAAATACTGGAGGGTATAGGCTACTTCTGAGCTCACAACAGATCAGGAGCACATGGCTGGGCCACAGTTCCTCTGGGCCACAGTTCCTCTGGGCCACAGTTCCTCTGGGCCACAGGCACTGATGGAAAGAAAGTACTGTGGCCAGGTAGCAGGACATTGCTTCTGACTTTATATTGAAAGTCTGATGACTCTAGCTCCCTGTCTTCCTCCCCCACCCCTACTTCTGCTTCTTGGAAGAGGAAAGAATATTAAGTAACCTAAACAAAAACAAGATAAAATCGATGCCTGGAATACACAAGTATGTGTAATCAGAAGGCACTGACAAAGAAAGCATTGGCTGATATAAAAATCTGCTATGCAACTGTGGATTTCCTGTAGGGTATTGATTTTTCCATTTAAATTCCAAACTGTGATATGTGCCTTCACACTTAATGTACAACACAGATGACTAGATATTTAGCTTGGTGGCCAAGATTCTTTAGTTGGTGATTGTGTAGCAGTTTCCTTATGCTTTTTATTAATTTTGAAAATGCACGGCTGTCAAGATGAATGACATTGGGTAAAACTTGAGTTATACTTGATATATCACAATTGTGGCCCCCTGTACCTCTTCATAGATAGGTATGTGTATGTACACCCATGTGTACACACAAACACACTGGTATTTTGCTGGCATATCTAAGTTTATGACCAAAGCAAATAACTTCCAGTAAAATAAAATGTAAAACATTTACATCATGTAACATTATGGCAAGGAGTGTGCTGGTAGCATAGTGCCTAAGACACTTGACTGCTAACCAGAAGGCTGGCGGTTCAAACCCACCAGCCACTCTTTGGAAGGAAGGTTGGGCAATCTACTTCCGTAGTGATACCACCTTGGAAACCCTCAGAGAGGTTGCTATGAGTCAGGTCCCACTCGACCGCACATAATAGCAACAACATTATAGCAACATGACTTATGAGAGCCCAGAAGAGAGAACATTTAGAGTCAGCCGTGTGTGACTAGCCATTGCCCCCAATTCCAACTCCTATTCCTGGTTCTTCTACCATTATTGCTTCATTCTTTTGGGACTGGAAGGCCTTGTCATCTTCCCCTATTAAAATGATCATATCACTGGTGGGAGGTGAGTTAAGAGCTAGAGTGACAAGAGGACCTTAAACATTTTATGAGCTCACACTTTCTCATCAGCCAGTACTTTTCAGTTCTGGGAGTAAGACTTTACAGAAACATGGCATAAGCTGGGTTCTTAGAGGGAGAAGACGTACAGCTAGAAGAAGAAGAACATTGAGACGGTTTAGGAAAGGTCCTGAAGACAACTGAGCCTACTCCACAAGTTTACTTAGGACCAGTTTAGAGGGCAATCACTGTGTTCAGGAAGAGCCTCAAAATATGTTTTTTTTTTTTTTTTAAAGCAGCAACTTATTTCTGTTATGTGGTGTGGAATGAATCCAGATTTAGGAAGTCTGAAAGGAAAAATGAGAGAAAGGAAAGTTAAGGGGGGAAATCAGCCTGTCTTCCTCAGTTCCACATTTCTGAGTTGCCACCTAGACAAAGTCTGGATCTCTTTGGCTTTTCCTCAGGCTGCTAGGGGCTGGGGCATTGCAGAGGGAAGAAGCCCACACTGGGAGGCTAAATGAAAATAGTAATCATTCTTTCTAGTCCCTTACCATGCCAATGTAGGGAGAAGATGAAAACTATTTTAGTTTTGTGGTCTTGTGAACAGAGGTGATGGGGGGGAGAGATGTTTAGGCAGCTCTTCTGTGGGCTAGTTTTTCCATCTCATCTCCTTGTGCAGGTAGGCAGGTGGATTAACAGAGTTGCAATATGCCTTAGAAAGCAAGAACTGCTCTGTATTAGTGCAATGTTCAATTTACAAAACATTATCGAGTATCTTCTATGTACAAGGAATTGTACTGTACTAGACAATGCAGGTGGGGACACAAAATAGAAAAAGACACTGTTCCTTCCCTGAAGGAGCTTACAAGACAGTGGGAAGAATAAAGTGTATATAGTGTTGTATTCATCAAGAATGTGGCTCTTGGGTTTTCCAGAAAGCCAGAATTTTGCCCCAGCTAGACTTTAATTTATACCACATTATTCTGGTTCTATAGCTAAGGATTTTAAACTCATTGCTGTTGAGTCAGTTCTGGTTAATAGTGATCCCATGTAACAGAGTAGAACTGTCCCAAAGGGTTTTCTAGGCTGTAATCTTTGGTAGCATAGTGCCTAAGACACTTGACTGCTAACCAGAAGGCTGGTGGTTCAAACCCACCAGCCACTCCTCGGAAGGAAGGTTGGGCAATCTACTTCCGTAGAGATACCACCTCGGAAACCCAAGGAGGGGTCGCTATGAGTCTCTCTGACTCGATGGCACATAACAACAACAACAACAATAATCGTTGCAGAAGCAGATTGCCAGATCTTTCTCCTGCAGAGCCGCTGGGTGCATTTGGTCTGCCAGCCTTTTAGTTAGCAGCCAAGCGCTTAACTGTTGCAAGCCAAACAAGTTGCTGTTGTGTCAGAGTGGAACCGTACTCTAAAGTGTTATCAATGGCTGACTTTTTGGAGGTAGATTGCCAGGCCTTTCTTTTGAGGCACCTTGTGCTGGACTCAAACCTCCAACCTTTTAGTTAGCAGCCAAACGCTACTGTACCATCTCAGCCACAGAGGCTTAAAATTTTTGGTGGTTCGTTTGGAATCAGATTGCACTAAACTGGATCTCTGTTTTCAATCTTTTTGACCTCTCCGAACCTTAGACTTTGATCTGTAAAATAGGATTAATAGTGATAATAAAGGTAATAACCTCAGAGGATATAGTAAGGATTGAAAGAGGTAACATATTTAAAGTGAC